ATTTATGCTCTATTTAAAATTTTTATTATAAAATATGTTTTAAAATAAATTATCATCTAAAATATTATATTATATATTAAAAACATGTTTATATTATAAATAAATTAAACTTGATTTTTATACAATTTAATATATTTATTTTTATATTTTTATTAGTATTAAATTGTTATAAACTATATTTTTAGGATTGTAGTTTTAATCAAACGTATAAAAAATATCTATGATAAATAAATAAGTCATTTTTAAGACATGTATTTTTTTTTTAAAAAGGTTAAGTTCATACTTACTAAATTATAATATAAAATAGTCTAATCTAACTTATTTTCATCCTTAATCATAATCATAATTATAAAAGCTTGTAAAAAATAATTATAATATATATTTATACTTTTAAAAATTATATGTAAATTTTTTAATATTATTAATATATAAATAAGTAGTGTCTCCACTATCTAAAATTTCTGAATCCGTCACTGCTTTTAAGTATGAAACTTTTAAAAACACGTACTTATTAAAAATTTATCCACTTCATCTTAAAACTATGTGACAATAAAATAAATTTCCATTAAATTTATATATATATAAAAATATTTCTATGTTTTTATGTATATAATTTTTTAATTATTTATGTTTAATTTTTTTAATAATAAAAATATTATTAAAAAATTAACTATTTTTAAAAACCAAAAATTTAAATTTAAAATCTTAAATTTAAGAATTAAGTATTCAATTAATTTAATAAATATTGATAATTTTTAAATATATTTAAATAAATATAGAGACACAAATCAACTCCACTAATATATATAAAAAAAAAAGTTTTATAATTTACATTACACAAAATTAAACTAAAAAAAAAAACCAAGCTCCTTCGATCTTTTTTATTATCAAACAAGTAATTTTATTTTGACAAGGAAATTTACGGTGACCCAAATTCTAAGGTGATTTCCTATGTCTTCTTCCGCACCTCCCTTCCAATCTTAACTGTTCGAACGCTTCGTGGCTTGGGCTTTGCCGGAGTTATCTCTGCATGCAAACCAACATTAAAAATAAGTCTAAAACAAATATCATAAGATATATATATTTTAAAATAAAAAAAGGATATATATTAGATGATTTTTTATTAATATAAGATCTTTTATTTAATATAGGCAACTTTTCATTTTTTTAATAAAAAATAATAACAAATTATAAGGTAAGAAAAAAAATTAATATTTTAATTTATGTAATACATTCAATATATTTTTATTTCAAATAAATAAATATTTTTATCATAATTAAAATTTATAATAAATAAATTTTATTTATAAATTTATTTAGTAATATTTTAGATAACTACTAAAGTTATTTTATGGTTAGATTGAGAGGGGTTGAGATAGTTAAAAATTTATTATTTTTGTAAATTTTTTCTATGCCTTTAGGTCGGTCGGGAGACTCCGGTTGGGCGCGCATGGCGGTGACGACGTCGACGAAGGCATTGAGAATGTACTTGTGGGTCTTCTTGTGGTTAAGGTTCATGTGACAGTACAGAAGCTCCTCCATGAAGTCCCAATCCACCTTCTCCTGGTTCCTTATTCTGGATTCCACCACGCCTTCCATGGATCGCCGGAAATCCTCACTGGGGCTGGCGGAGTTGGCCAGGACCACCACGCAGTTGGTGGGGAGCAGCATGAGGTCCTCTCCGCCCTCGTTTTCGGACGCGGTGGAGCTGGAGCCGCCTTCCGTGGTGGTCTCCGTGAAGAGGGCGGGATGAAAGTCGTGGAACCTTGTAGAAGAGTCGAACCTGATGGGGCAGAGTTCCGGAGACTTGGCTCCGTGGCGGCTGTTGTCGCTGCTGTTGGAGTCGTCGAGATCTTCGAGGAAGAGGGACTTGAAATTCTCGAAGAGGAAACGGTCGATGTCGGCTAGCATGGCTTCGTCGTCTTTGACGTTGTTGGTGGTGGCTTTGTCCATGTCGATGGAATGGGTCCTAGGATGCTTGCACCCTGCCACCATCCATTTCTTGGAGGGTAAGTGGATCGGTGAACGGTGGGGGCTTTTCATCTTCGAGAGGTACTCTCGAAGAGCTTTTGGGATCTTGTTTCGTGGCATGTTGCTGAACGACCAACAATCAACACTGTCTATGGTTTATAACAAGAGACCATTCAGGAGATGCATCCTTTCATGAATTCGCCTCTTTTTTTTCTTTCTTTAAATGCATTTCGAGCAGTATTTGGTAAAATACCAAAAGTCATTCATGAGAATCATGCTTTTCAATTTTTCATATCAAATCTTATTCAAAGGTTGAATTTGCTTTAAAAGCCTATTGACTTTTTTAGTAGACCTTCATTTTTACCATTTATCACAATTATGGAGGGTGCTGAAATTCATAGTGTTTCTAATATTT